ATTTTGAGAAGCATGAATATCCTCTGAGGAGAAAACTGTAAATACAACCTCCAATGTACAGAAAGCATTTCTCCACTCAGCATCATGAAAATGGATCTAAAGCTGTGAGACTGATGGATTCACCAGGCAGAAAACTTTGGTTACAGCGCCCCCATGTGGCAGAGTGGGGCCAATTTTCTCCATGTGTGAGGACTGAGGACAGAGTGAAGTCTAATGTGTTGAAGATTTATCACTCCAGAGTAAATGAGGAGATGTCAACAACAACAAGTCAAACAGAACAACAGTTTGGTCCTTCAGCTTTAAACCCGTGTTTTTATTTCATCTTCCCTTCGACCGTGCCACTTTTGTCCGGTCCGGTTTGACTGTTTATAAAACATGAAGTATGAATTATCACCCACTTCTGTGTTACAGCTTTAGCCAACTTCATTCCAACTCATCAACACAAGTTTTTCATTTCTTTTTGGGCAGTAGACCTCGTTTACATGAAATTACACCTAGTTTTTAAGGAGAATCAACAGAAATGATGAGTTATTTTGGATTATCACAGACTGGTATATGTCAAATATTAGCCGGGATATTCCCAAACAACAACTTTCTGAGGCAGAAAGAACCTCAGAACGGCTCTGATTATTCTGACCAACAGGACCAGTTTTACAGAGACTACAGAGATGAAGGAAGACCTGCTGGAGACCTCAGTCTGACCCTGAAATCCCCCACAGATGGAGACAAAGGACGATACTGGTCTAGCAGACACATCAGTAGAGAGAGAAACGTCCTCTCCTGCAGGAAAGAACCAGGAACAGAAGCAGCTCCACTGATGACCGATCAATTATCCGATCTGACGCTGGATCAGAGAGATAAGGGAGGTGAAGCAGAAGATGGAGGGATGAAGACAGGAGGACACTTTGTTAGTTTCTTCTTCACTCTGACTCTACCGACTCTCACACCCAGTCTACACACTCACTACTGATTTCTATTAATCAGTGATGTCAGAGTGAGGTCAGCGTCATGTCACATGTTGATCCGCTCTGGGATCTGGACTGAAACATGTCCTTGTTGTTGTTTTGGAGACTTTTAGTGTCCATGAAGGTCCCTTGTGGTTTAGGTCCTCTGTACTGGACAGAGGTCTCACACTGGAGGAAACTCTGCTTGTGTTTTATTCTCACACTCAATATATTCCACTTTTTGTCAGTTGCTCCATCACGTTTTCTAAAGCACTCTCACAGCTCTCTAAAGATTCAGTTGGCCGTCCTCCGTTTTCCATTGCAGACAGTACCCAGGCCAGAGATAGCACCCCTCAATCTAGCTGGTCGTCATAGAGACGCCACACACAACTGATCAAAACGCAATTAATGCGACGCACACACAGCTGTCTCTTGATTTAAGTTAAAATGTTTCAACATTACTCAGAATCTAAAGACAGATAAGACGGAGGTGATACGAAAAAAGTAGCTGGTAGCAGGTACAAGTACAATTTTTACACAAAGGAAAACCAAAAGAAGGCGAGTAGAGTCGAGGCGAGTCGAGGTGGTACCTTGCAGTGGAGAAGGTGCTTTACGTCTCTCTCTCCCTGTTTGTCCGCTTCGGTGACTTTCTCCATCAGTAGTAGGCTAGGCTTTATAAAGTCACCGAAAAGAAAAAGTCTTCTGGACTTTTCCTCCGGTGATTCCCTTCACAGCAGCAGCTGCATGCTGCGGAGGTGTGCCGACAAAGTAGCCTATCAGAACAAAACTAACGTGGTAGCTAACAAATAACATCTGACTGGTGTGTCCAGTGTCGCGACTTGAAACGTAATCACCGTGTTTCTCTGATAAATGCAACAGTGTGTCGTCTAACCTGGGCGGCCCGCGGAAGTGTATGTGTGCGAAACACTGACTGAACCGTGCTTTTCTTTTTACAAGCCAGGTCTTTAACAGTGTCGACCTGCACTGTGTCTCAGTCCATCTTGTTGAGAGTTTGTGAGTAGACAGCTGAGTGCAGACGCAGAGGGAGGGGCGGGGCTGCAGTGAGGGAGAGAGAGGAGCAAACGCTGGCAGGACTTGACGAAACTAATTAATCACCTCAACATCAAACTATATCGGTATAAACGGTATTGTCCAATTTCATATTTCTTTTGAAATTATATCGGTATACATTATATACCGATATACCGCCCAGCCCTAGCTCTGATCACAGTCAGCACCTTCCACTTACACTAGAGTCAAACACAGGAAGCTGGACAGACAAATGTCTCCACACAACAAGCGAGGAAGTGTTGGAGAAAGACGTGTGTGGCACGTGAAGTTTGTTTTTCAACACACAGATGTGTAGTGATGGTGTAACCCTCCCCTCCATGTCTCTGCTGGGACGTCCTCATAGGCAGCATGTTGTCTCTGGGTCATTCTGCTTTCTTTGTCCTCCAGCCGGTGACCCAGAGATCCACCGAGCTCCTCCATCATCCAGCAGAAACAGTCTGCTTGTTGATTGGTCGGCTGATCTGATGGACAGAAAAGTGGAAAATATAATATTGCTATTCCTGCAGAAGTGTAAAAGGGAACAACAGCAGCAGAGGCTCTGAACATCTTCATGATGATTCAGCAAATGGAAATGATTCCATGTGTGTGAATCCAAATCAGAAATGAACTCACTTTGTCTGCTTCCTCTTCTTCAGCCAAAAGGCTTCTCTCCACAGACCACAGACCCAGAACCAGCAACATCTACAGAAAGCAACAGGAGGATTGAGGAAAAGCACAAGACTTTGGGAAAGGGAAGAAGTCGAGTTAGTATTATGTATTAATGGGATATGGTTTCATACAGATGGAGAGAGAGAGGAGCTCAGTGCAACACAGACAACACCAAACCAAGCTTCAGTATTAGTGGATATGTGTAACTAATATGTGTTCGAGTCCACTGCGAGACACCATGTGTCCATGAGCAAGACACTTAACCTTACGTTGCTCCAGAGGCGTGCGACCTCTGACATACAGCAAATGTATGTCGTTTTGGATAAAAGAGTCAGTTAAGTGACTAACTGTAAATGTAACGTAACAAGTTCTGGTTAGCTCGGTTCCTGTATCGAATTCTTCCTACGACATTGATCAAAGTTTGTATCTTTGTTTCTTTAATAACAGTCTCTCCATCTTTTATGGCGGTATCTGGCCTCTTATCTCTGATCACATCAGGCTAAGAGGAAGGTCTTTGTGTGTTCAGTCTCTTTTCCTCACTAGAACAATCAAAGAGAAAACCCAGTTCATCACCTCAGTTTGTGACTGTTATCCAGGTAAGACCATCTTTTCAGAAGGGAGAAGTTTTGTCTTGGCTGGCCAGTCTCCAAAACTGACACTTGTACGGTCATTAAAGAGGGGGAGTTAAGCTGGCAAGGTCAGAGAAGCTTTTCCAACCCTTATTATTAACTCTGGAAGATGAGTGGGTCTGTGAAGTGTGGGATGCATGTGATTTCAGTTGATATTTTGCTCACATGCTGTTTATTTCATAATAAACTGGCGTTTAATCAAATAACAACAACCTTACTGGGCTGCTGATCTTCCATTATAGGAGGACTGGTTGTTTCTATTAAAGGTAACAGGATATAACCCTCTGCACACAGTTTGCTCCTCCAGTGACTTTAAAGTGAAAACTATCATCTGTTGAACAAACTGGAGCTCCTCTGCTGCCTCCTGCTGGCTGCTTCCTGTCACTGTCAGTCTGTTCGTCCCTCAGGATAAACTGGAGAGCTACAGAGTTACAGTTACAGTAGTCCTTATAGCTATGTAGTTTTATAAGCCACCTGGATTGAACACAGCAAGTGATACAACATTCGTAATAACCACGAGAGACTTGCCTTGGATCCTTTGGTTCCTTTGAAACCACAACTTTTCTCTTGGATTACTGAGCATTTCAGGAATGATGGAGACAGTGGTGATGATGATAATGTCATCATAACCATCGTCCAATCCCTGGTCAGCCTGGGTCATTACCAATTGTAAAACAGTTAATGGTCTGCGCTTGCACTAATTACAACAGAACAACAATTCTTGTTGAAAGGAAACAGTTCATTGAACTTCCAGTTTCAAACGATGAGTCAAAGCTTCTATTTGTGGCGACTAATTTAATGAGAATATTGAAAAGAACTTGAGTCCAAGTCTCAAGTCTCCAAGCTCAGATTATTACAGCACCAACCCTGGCAGGATGCAAGTTAAACAGAAAGCAACACATTTACTGACAGAACAGAAAGCAGCCAGCTGTTAAAATGGAGTCAGATAATGAAGACGCAATAATATTTGATTCATCAGACTTTCACAAGAACAAAGGTTTGTTCAGACTGAACACAAATGTGGTCTGTAGTGGTTTTGTAGTCCCTGTTTATTCAGCGCCTCTTCCTCCTCACTGGATCAAACCACAGCAGTTAAACCCAGAGGCCTCCAGTGGACCTGGTTCAGGCCTCTTAAACAGTTGGACTTTGTGATTTTTGCCCTGTCTTCAAGTGTTGATATTTGGAGCAGGTATAAACAGACGTCATGACTAGTTTGTTTGAAGCGTACCGAGTACTGCAGACGTTGATCTCAGAACTCAGCAGAAACTCCCCTTCTTTAGTCTCTTTCTTACAGTTTGGTTTTGTGTCTCTCTGTTCATTAATCAAAGACAAACCTGAAACAGAGCTCAACAGATTCAAAAGCACATTCAGCAACAGAAATAACAGCAGATCAAAATCCATAACGCATTTAGCCAGATTTTACATCAGGTGTTCATGTTTTTAAGACATGGGAAGGTCACACATTTTATGTATAATGAACATGAAATGTGTCAATAATATTTATTGACTCAAAGTATAAACAAAAGAAAATAAAACAGTAAATACAGATATAAAATATGGAAAATATGTTTAAAACACAACAACAACAAACAATATTTCATCCAGCGTGGAGCTTCCTTCTTGACTTTGGGGAACACATCTGTAATAAATGAGTCTAAACTCAGGCCTCACATACTACCTCTTTGTTGGAGCTTTTGACCACATCCCATGGCCTTCTTATGGTCATCACATGACTCTAGTCCAGGACAGTCACATGATAACACGTGGTTGTATTCAGGTGGAGATGGTAACCTCTGTCTCTGTTCACAGATGTTCTCTGGTGTCAGATGCTAATGTCCTCCTTGATCTTTCTCCGGTTGTTGACTCGTGCTCTAGATCAGCTAACCGGAGACACCTCAGTCTGCGCTGGCAACCTGGGGATGGCCAACTATAGCAGCTAAAGACTGAGTTTCCGTGGTGCGGAGCAGAGTTAAAAATGTATGATGCCTCACCTCCAATGCGACAAACTATACTTATTACAGGTACCAGGATCAGTAAAGGAGTCAGAGGAATAGCTAAATATTTGACAAACAGAGCAGGAGATTGAGAGGGAAAGTGAGAGGACATCGCTAGCTGCAAAGCTAATGTACGACAGCTAACAAACAACTGTGGGATTTAGTTAGAGTGACTTATAAGAAAAATCTGAGTGCTTAAAGCTACGCCAAGTTTGAAAGAATAAAGCATAATTCGCTGATGTAATGTAGAACATGGGCGTCATAAGGCCTGAGCCTCAAAAAAAAAAAAAAAAGATCAATGTTGAAGCTATCAAGTCTATCACTGATTAAAACACATGAAAATAATATGATCATTTATAGCACGAGTATATAAGGCAGGTAGATCTTGTAAAAATATTATGACTTGGTTGCATCTTTATTCTCAACATGTCACACATACAACAATGATTTACACACTCCGTACTTTAACGAACTCCTCCTAGGGATTTAGTCCGACTGACTTCAAATTTCTGCTGTGCCTTCTAAAGGCATTGACGATGAAAAGTTGTGCTATCTGTGAGTTTTCGTCAATGGGCGTGTCCGTGGCGTGGCGTCAAATATCAACTCTTCGCCATGACACAGGAAGTTGTTGTAACTTGTGTAGTGTACATGCTCACATCTGAACAAAACTTTACGTGCTTGATAACTCTCCCACCCCGAATACATATAAAAAGCCAAAATTAATTTATATTCATAGCGGCAAGTGCTATGTAGCACTATGGGACACAGGAAGTGACGTATAACACCTTCATGCAGCGTGCGAACCGCCTAGCAAATTCACAGCCGCACCGGCAGAGCTCCAGAATATGGAACGTGGCCGGCTCACACCCGGACGTGTTCCACGTGCGAGGACCCGCCCAACGCTGCTTGCAGCTTTAATTTATCTTTGTCTTTGAGACCACAGTGTAAGTTATTTGTTCAAAGGCATATAGGTCTAAAAGCAAAGAATACAAGCTTTAGAAAGTTTAATTTATGATTCAGATAATTTTTGTTCTAGCCTACTATACAAATAGACGTCAAGCTAGATTGCTTCCAATATTAGCTTACACTATTAATTGTGATTGTGCTCACCTTTATTTTAAAGTAAATTAGTTAGAAGTTGTTTCCCTTCACATTGCCTTCTTAGTCTCTTTTCTTTTTTGGTCCCTTAATTGGGGACAGACGTGACTGTCAAGGAACATCAATGCTCCTGCATCAGCAGTTACTCTGCTCTTTAAGCCTGTTTAGAGATGAATCCTAGTGTGGGGCAGACTAAACCATTCTGTCTTTTGTATGGGGAGAGGCCCCATGGTGCTTTCAGACCAAAAAAAGAAATGAGCTTTGGGGGCAGTGCGTTTACATACAATGTAAATGTAAAGACGCGGAGAGCCGTCATTTCCTTGAGATTGTCGGGACATCACAGACCGCTTCAGAGGATTGTTTGGAGAGTACCAGGTACAGCGAAGGAGTAAAAGGCTGCAGACCGACGAAGAGCTGCTAAGCTACGGGGACAGAGCCGGGGGCAGTGCTGCAGTCGGACTGGATTATGCTCTGACAACCAAAATATTTTCCTGCGGAATTTGATCCGTTAATTGTAGTTAAATCACAGTAAAATGATACTTTGGGTTCATACAGCTGTAATAACTGCAGGTTGTGTTTATTTGCATTGTGTGTGAATACTTAGCAGTTGTCCAGCGATAAAACACCCACAAGGAAAGCGTTGCGAGGATTAAACCCGACTCCACTTTTATTTTTTTATTGGGGGGTATACAAAGTCTCAAGAGTTTACTTCCTCAAAGAAAAGAAATGGGGAGGGCGACAGTATATAGTTATAGCATTGATAACATAATAGAAAGTTACTGTTACTGAAGCTCAGAATATAAAATCTCTGCTATCAGGGCATGAAGAGGAGGCAGGTGGAAACAGCTAGCATGTCTCTGAAAAATGTTCAAAATTAAGCAGTGTGACTACGTTGGTGGCGTTTTTAGGTTACTACAATGAGAAAAAGATTTCCCACACTGGTCACAGCTGTACGGTTTCTCTCCAGTGTGAACATGTTGGTGGATTTTCAGTTTCCATGATGTAGAGAAAGTTTTCGCACACCGTTCACAGCTGTGTGGTTTATCTCTAGTGGGAACAAGTCTGTGTCTTTCTAGGAAACCTGACTCAGTGAAAGCTTTCCCACCTTGGTCACAGCTATACTGTTTCACTCTAGTGTGAACACGCCTGTGTCTGTCTAGGTCACTTGATTGAGTGAAAGCTTTCCCACATTGTTCACACCAGTATGGTTTCTCTCCGGTGTGAACACGTTTGTGTTTCATAAGGGAACCTGATTTAATGAAACTTTTCCCACAGTGCCCACAACAGTACGGTTTCTCTCCAGTGTGAACACGTCGGTGGACTTTTAGACTACCTGATCTAGTGAAAGTTTTCCCACACTGGTCGCAGCTGTATGGTTTCTCTCCAGTGTGAACACGTTGGTGGACTTTTAGATCATCTCCTCTACTGAAAGCTTTCCCACATTGGTCACAGCTGTACGGTTTCTCTCCAGTGTGAACACGTCTGTGTCTTTCTAAGTCACCTGATTGAGTGAAAGCTTTCCCACACTGGTCACAGGTGTACGGCTTCTGTCCAGTATGATGTCTCTGATGAATCTTTAAATATCCAGATCTTGTGAAGGATTTGTCACAGAACTGACAGCGGTGACGTTTGAGTCCCTCCCTCCGTTTCTATAACAACAAACAGACATACAGAGAGAAACACAGTAAGTGAGATGTCATGGTGGAGCGAGCTATCTACAACCATAAACGCAGCTCACATCATTATTGGGAGATACAGTGCCTTGCGAAAGTATTCGGCCCCCTTGAACTTTTCGACCTTTTGCCACATTGCAGGCTTCAAACATAAAGATATAAAACTGTAATTTTTTGTGAAGAACCAACAACAAGTGGGACACAATCATGAAGTGGAACGAATTTATTGGATATTTCAAACTTTTTTAACAAATAAAAACTGAAAAATTGGGCGTGCAAAATTATTCAGCCCCCTTAAGTTAATACTTTGTAGCGCCACCTTTTGCTGCGATTACAGCTGTAAGTCATTTGGGGTACGTCTCTCAGTTTTGCACATGGAGAGACTGAAATTTTTGTCCATTCCTCCTAACAAAACAGCTCGAGCTCAGTGAGGTTGGATGGAGAGCGTTTGTGAACAGCAGTTTTCAGTTCTTTCCACAGATTCTCGATTGGATTCAGGTCTGGACTTTGACTTGGCCATTCTAACACCTGGATATGTTTATTTGGGAACCATTCCAGTGTAGATTTTGCTTTATGTTGTCGATCATTGTCTCCGTCCCAGTCTCAGGTCTTTTGCAGACTCCATCAGGTTTTCTTCCAGAATGGTCCTGTATTTGGCTCCATCCATCTTCCCATCAATTTGAACCATCTTCCCGTCCCTGCTGAAGAAAAGCAGGCCCAAACCATGATGGTGCCACCACCATGTTTGACAGTGGGGATGGTGTGTTCAGGGTGATGAGCTGTGTTGCCTTTACGCCAAACATATCGTTTTGCATTGTTGCCGAAAAGTTCGATTTTGGTTTCATCTGACCAGAGCACCTTCTTCCACATGTTTGGTGTGTCTCCCAGGTGGCTTGTGGCAAACTTTAAACGAGACTTTTTATGGATATCTTTAAGAAATGGCTTTCTTCTTGCCACTCTTCCATAAAGGCCATATTTGTGTAGTATACGACTGATTGTTGTCCTATGGACAGAGTCTCCCACCTCAGCTGTAGATCTCTGCAGTTCATCCAGAGTGATCATGGGCCTCTTGGCTGCATCTCTGATCTTCTCCTTGTATGAGCTGAAAGTTTAGAGGGACGGCCGGGTCTTCGTAGATTTGCAGTGGTCTGATACTCCTTCCATTGCAATATTATCGCTTGCACAGTGATCCTTGGGATGTTTAAAGCTTGGGAAATATTTTTGCATCCAAATCCGGCTTTAAACTTCTCCACAACAGTATCTCGGACCTGCCTGGTGTGTTCCTTGTTCTTCATGATGCTCTCTGCACTTTAAAACGGACCTCTGAGACTATCACAGAGCAGGTGCATTTATACCAGACTTAATTTCAAACAGGTGGATTCTATTTATCATCATTAGTCATTTAGGTCAACAATGGATCATTCAGAGATCCTCACTGAACTTCTGGAGAGAGTTTGCTGCACTGAAAGTAAAGGGGCTGAATAATTTTGCACGCCCAATTTTCAGTTTTTTTATTTGTTAAAAAGGTTTGAAATATCCAATAAATTTCGTTCCACTTCATAATTGTGTCCCACTTGTTGTTGATTCTTCTCAAAAAATTACAGTTTTATATCTTTATGTTTGAAGCCTGAAATGTGGCAAAAGGTCGAAAAAGTTCAAGGGGGCTGAATACTTTCGCAAGGCACTGTACACTGAACAAAATTATACAAACGCAACACTTTTGTTTTTGCCCCCATTCATCCCCCCTTTCATCATGAGCTGAACTCAAAGATCTAAGACTTTCTCTTTGTACACAAAAGATAACAAATATTGTTTGCAAATATTAGTGAAAAATATTTGAGAGAAATAGGCACACGAAAGTGTTGTATTTATAATTTAGTTCAGTGTATGAGTTTTGCATTGAAATCGGCATCTGTGTTTAGACTCTCAGCCGAGAGTCCGATCCTTGACTCATGCCACGAGTGTTGCATATTTTGCCCACCAGATAGCGCTCTGCAGCTCCCCTGTTAACAAAAAAGTCTGCCGGAGCAAGTAGAAACAACACGGAGAGTGGCTGTGTTACCGGTGACTTAGTCATTTGTCACATTACTTACATGACTTAAATTATGTTGCTTTTATCCAGCCAGTTTATCCAGTGGGTTAAACAACTGCTTGGGGTGGGAGGCTGGGGTCCGTGAGTTTCGAACAATGAACCTGAGTAAGCTTCCTCAGTGGAGGAAGGACTGAGTGTATGATTGAACATAAGTTTTGTTAGTGATTATTTTGAGACCATGAGGTAATTAGAATTTTTTTACTAAGTGGGGCGTAGGGGGGGCTCTGTACTTTCTTAATTGAATTAAAAGATAAGCCGAGTGCCAAATGAAATCTCAAATCAATGTCCGCTAAATATTTCATCAGCCCCCCGAGTGCAGAGGTGAGGGTCTTTATACCACAGACACTCATGGTCAGTTACGGAGAACCGCAGCTGTTGAACTGCCAGCACAAAGCGAGGATAATGTCAGAAGGCAGATTCAGACTTTCAGACGATTTATGCTACAGATTCCTGATAGTAGACATTTATCACCATTTAGTGATCGGGTTTAGTTTTTGTGTGTAAAATCACTGCAGTGAACATGAGCGCACATCACGGTGGCTTAAATTTTCAGTTTTCAGTATATTCAGTTTAAAGTTCTTGGAATTCAGTTTCAAATTATTAATACAATTATTCAAGTTAAAACAATACCAATTATGTTTTCAAACATTAAAAACATGTTACAATTATTCACGTCCAGCAATTCAGATTCTGCTGACACAAAGATCTGCCCATATGGGCCCAGCATGAGAAAGACCAACCTGATGGAACAGCACCATGGAATATTATAACCATGTGATTTCTTGTACCTCACAATCGCCTTGATTTGTGTGTCAGAAAAACTTTTTTTTAATGTCACACCATGTTTTCTCAAGACTCTCAGGCGATTTTATTAGCCCAGTCTCTTCGGTTAGGATTTATTTTAGGTTCATACAGTTTATATATACACAGAGTACATTCATAGACGGAACTAAAACAAAATACAATAACTCCACCTTCATTCCTCATACCATGTCTGCAAAGTCAAAAAAACGTTCTCCTGTCCTATGTTGCACCTCTGGCAGCGCCAAATTGACAGCGTCATGGCTCCCCCTCGTGGCAGGAGGTTTATAACATCAAATAATAAATATAACAAAATGGTTCATTTTCCTTTCCAGCACCTACATTGTTTAAATAGCCCTTGCGCCCATCTGTGCACCCATGGGATTGTTGGCCGTAAAAACGAGGTGCGATCACATCGAAAACAACAGTGCCATTGAACAACAAAAACCTGGTCTAATCAATCGATATTGACTAGCAGCTATGTACATCGTTGCACACCGCTGTAGTGCAATTACGTCCGACTGCGGACTGTTGCAGTCCCATGGCACGCCCTCACGGTAGAGTCTGTTATGATGTCTATGAAGATTCTCAGTCATCCAGGTCATAGTTATCCAACGAAGGTTAAACTTGGACTCTAGATAGCTTCCTTGACACCTCTTTCAAACCATCCATCTTCTCTGTCTAAAATGTGCACCTGGTGATGGTTTGAAAGAGGTGTCAAGGAAGCTATCTACACCAGGGTTGAGAAGCCGTCATTGAACAGAGGAGGGGGTCTACGCCACCACTTATCCCCCACTTACAATGCTGTCCTTTCATCACTTCCCAGGAAACTCAACAAACGTAACCTATTGGCCTCAGGTGAAGATACCAACGATGGTCGTTCAGTCTCGGCCACAGGTAGTCTCAACGACTGTAACGACTGTCGTCACAGCAACAAGGAACACTAACGAACCAGCGGTATCGATGACCCAAGATAACGACCCCACTGAGGTTAAATAGCTGAGTTTCCCTGCCAGTCAGTCAGAACTGAAGAAGTCCTTTGGATAAGGGACGAAACGTCTTCCAGTATCTTCAACCAAGTCCAGTTGCCCTTCATTTTAACCTTCGTTGGATAGTCTGTTATGATTGGCTTTAGCCTTCTGTGGTCTGTGCGACGTGACAGAAAAGGCCTTACGCCACGCCCCCTGAGTCCTCAGCCGGACTCTCCTCCTGCAGTGCCCACACAGCCCCGCCTCCTGTCACTCACAGCGCTTTCTTCTTGTCTCAAAGCTCCGTTTGATTAGAGGCAGACAGACTGACAACACACGAGGAAATATAATGACTCCGCTTCACTTTTCACCAGCATTGTTTCTGCTGCGCGCTCCCGACGCAACACGAGCTGCACCGCGCATGCGCAACGCGGGAAACTCACAGCACAAAGAAAAGAGAAACGCTCGTGAGTTTTTCTTTCAGCTTCCTCTCTTCAAGATGAAAACAGGAATCACGGAGACACTTTGGAAATCAAACCACGTCAACACAAACCCTGGAGCGGGTTTTCAGGCTCTGATCTCTAACAACAGAATGAACGGATGATACACGGACCCTCGAGACTCTTCCTCGTGTCTTTAGTCTCGTGATGAAGTCATGAACACTGACCTGAACATCGGTGCTATCAGAGCACGAGGCTGCTGTTTGGCTCCTGTGGTCCGGGTTCTGGTTCTCCATCGTCCTGCAGGTCTCCGCTGTGACTGGTGGACCGTGTTGTCCTGGACTGAGTCTGGATTCTGGTCTCGGAGCACTTCCGGATCCCGCGGAGCCTCCGCGTTCTCGCTGTGACGGCGCCCCGCCCCTTAGTTACTGTCGCTAAGGCCGTTTAGAAACATGGCTCCTTGATTTCAGGCAGAAGATGAAGTTTAGTTAGTTGGTTTCCTGAAACCAGCTGATCATATTTGATGTGTATGAGGGAGTGTGCTTCACACAGAGCAGAGTTTTAATGAAGCGCTTGTTATTATCACATCAGAGGCTCATGAAAATATCCTGCTGAAGCTTTTTTTTTAATGACCCGTCCAAACAGATCCAAACACAAAGCCACTGAAGGAAAACCGTGTGTTGTGAATGACAAACCTCTTTTGTCTCCGTTAATACAGAATAAATTAGAAATATGACAACAACATGTTGATGTGATGCTCACTTCATAAATAAATCCTGCTGTGAACACATTTTGACAAATAAACGCAGGTTTCAATAAGACGCCTGCTCTGTTTTTTGTAAAAGTTATTTGGATGTATTTAAAACTTCCTAAAATCAATTGGTTGCCACTTCAGCTGCTTCTAAGCTGCTAAAATTGTGAATTCAAATATAAATGTTTAAACTTGTGTCATATGGACATGCTCCACATTGATTGGTTAGATTCTCCACAATTCAATCGTTCAGTTCATTGTAGAGAGTCAATGAGCCCCAAAGTCTAATTCATTCAGATTTACCGGCATGGTAAAGAAGAGATGAAAAAAAAGTGCTGACTTTGAAGCGCTTGTTAAGTCCGTTCCTCGATTATTTATATTCCTTCAGTCCTTAAGATTCCACCGATAAAAAAATCGAAACAGGTTTTCTGAAAAAATGATCCTGTCCTGTTAATGCTTTCGTCACAAATGTTTGTGTACAGATTCTTGCTGTTACGTTTGTGTTATGATGAAAAGAGATTTCTACAATCGTATATTTACCTTTATGTAAATTTAATGGATCTTGCCACACTAAAGTCATTGTATGAAAAAGGAAATAAAATGATTGTCTGCTCTTCTTAAAAAAGGGGCAGACTGGTAATTTGGCATACTGGGCAAATGCCTGTTGGGCCGACGCATTTTTAGGGCCGGTTTAACGTAAATTATTTATTTATATAACTGTTAAAACCATGGCCCAACGTACCGGCCCAGAAAGCACGGTCAGCGGTCCGTTGGTTCATTTTCCATACTGACGCCCAATCACATCTCTTACTAGCTCCCAATCCCTCCCCCTGTGGCCTCTGTTCTTCTGTTGCAGGCCAAAAAAATAAAATCTTCAGACGACTGCCGCCAAATGTTCCAAAATAACCAATATGTTTGCTACCGGGGCTGCAGTAGTTTTAACATAAGCTGCAGTACCTGATGTAGTGCAGCCACAGGCACTTGAAGGAAGTAGAGCCATATGGCCTGAATTTTGTTTCCCTTTCTGTAAATATAATTCTCCTCTCTTTCTCTCTCTCCAGGTGTATGCTGTGAAGTCATTCTCGCAGTTGCAGCTGGTTGTCGCTTATCAGCTGCAGGTAGCCTACAAGGAGCCCTCGAGGTTGGAGAGGAGTGTTGGATCGTGTCGGCGTGGTGTCGCAGTGTGTGCTGTGCTGCTGCGATCTGCTGTGTGAGGTGTGGCGTGAAGGGTGGACCAGTTCCTGCAGTGGCAGCCGCTGTGTCTACGCCGGTGTACTCCCGCTGCAGAAAAGTGCAAATAAAACATTTAATCTGCAGCTGTTTTAAAATGCACACATCACACCAAGTTTAAAGTCTCTGCATTGGCTTCCTGTTTGCCTCATAACATTTTATCGTGATCCTTTTATTAGTTTAGCCGTCTCTTAATGGTCCTGAATATTTTATCAGATCTGCTTTAATTTTATGAACCTTCAGGTCCCTCAGGTCCTCTGGTGGTCTTTTAATTATCCCTAAAGTCCGAACGAAAACTCCCTGTGAGGCATCTTTTTATTATCACGGCCCACGTTATTATCCTGTTTTTTTTTCTTAAATTTCTATTATCTTATTTTTAGCATTTGATTTTAATCCTTTTATCGTTATTTTATATCTTTATTTTACTTTCCTTAAATACTTTGCCTCTAGTGTTTCCTCCCCATGTGTATTATATTATATTTATGTATGTGTGTGTGTGTCTGTCTGTGGAGTAGGTGGGGTGGCATCATTATGTTGCCAAGTTCTTTATAAATTAAAGGTTTATTAAACTCCAAATCAGACAAACAACTAATTCACATATAACTAACAACTACTCAACATTAAATTAACACATAAATACAGTCAAATACAATGAGTTATTAGGATAAAGATGAGGAATGACAGACTAAATCAAACCATTAATCTCTCTTCTTTTTTTAAGCCTTCTGGACGGGGCTGTGACTTCTACAGTTTATGGTGCGACAGCTTCACTCCCCTGCTTTACACTGTCCATATTCTTGAGCTCACAGAAATGTTTTCTCTCCAGAGAAGAGCATAAAAGAGAGGAGAGGGTGCAGAAGCAGACCAGACAAACACCAAACCAATCTTCAGTATCAGTTGAGATGTGTTCGGGTTCCTGGATCGAATGTTGGCACAGAAAACTTCACATTCTTCCTACGACATTAATCAAACATGGTGTACCAATAAATGCACATTTGATTCTGCACTGCAAAGTTTTTATTTTTTGTTTATTTAATAACAGTCTCTCTATCTTTTATAACGGCATCTGGTATTTGATCTCTGATCACATCAAGCTAAGAGGAAGATCTTTGTGTGTTCAGTCTCTTCTCCTTGTTAGAACAATCAAAGAGAAAACCCGGTTATTTGTGACTTTGTCATGCTGATGCGACTCTTTTGAGGGGCAAAGTTTTGTCATTCACCAGTCTTGTGCAGAGATATGCTTGCATGCCATGCGGCCGACCACTGCATGTAGGTCGCGGTTCCTTGCGGGTCTATTTTAAGTACTGTTTTTAAATGATTTGATTTTCTTTGTGTGGTTCATCAATGGCGATAAATTATCCAAACGTCCCGCGAGGTGCAGACAACACCGGTGAGGCAGGGGCTCCGTCTCTCTGCTACTAGCCTACATCATAGACTGCAGGGTTACACACCTACACATTATTTAGACCACTTTATTGAAGGTATTACTACCACACTGTGAAAATACTGCAGGGCAGGCAAAAGCCCTGCATTCAAAACCTTACTTGAGTAAAATATTATTAATAACATTTACTTAAAGTATGAACAGTAAAAATAGTCAGTATTAGTGTTTTTTTTTTGCCTATAATGGTGGGTGAACTGAGTCAAGATTAGTAGGCTGTGAGAGTGTAGTGAATAAATCCAAACTTACCCTTTAAGAAGGGGGGTCAGTGCGCAAGTGAATACTTGTGCCACCACTCTAAAAGAACGTCCCGACAGAAAGAGCTGACCAGAACACATTGATTAGAGGGGGAGAACAATAACTTTGCAATGGGTCTATGATTATAAAGACCTTTCATTAAAACAAACACATATAATACAATACACAAGTTGTATATCACAGTAAAATGCAAGATAGGGCAATCAATAGTGAGTGTGTAGACTGGGTGTGAGAGTCAGTAGGAGTCAGAATGAAGAAGAAGCTGACAAAGTGTCCTCCTGTCTTCATCCGTCCTCCATCTTCTGCTTCACCTCCATTTTCCCTCTGACCCAGAGTCAGATCGGATCAATGATCAAAGACAGAGGACAGTCAGACAGAGACAAACACAGAGAGCTCTGACCTCATTGACCTTTGACCCTGAGATCAACTATTTTCTCTCTACTGATGTTTCTGCTGGAGACGTAGACCCAGTATCGTCCTCTTTCTCCATCTGTGGGGGATTTCAGGGTCAGACTGAGGTCTCCAGTTCTCAGCAGGTCTTCCTTCATCTCTTTGTGGTCTCTGTAAAACTGGTCCTGTTGGTCAGAATAATCGGAGCCGTTCTGATACACGTGGACCGTCTTTAGCGGCTCCACTCTGATGTCCTCAGGGAGGTGAGCTGTGGTCTTGAAGGGCAGCAGGACAGACTCCGCCCCCTCCTCCACATCCTCCTGACAGACTGAAAAGCAGCAGCTACAGTAACAGGGGACAGAAATACAGGAAGTAAAAGCAAGAAAACATTTTAATGTCAGTGACACAAACAGCTGACAGAGATTTACAGCATGTCATTAAACACTGAAGTCAGTCCAACTTTTCATTAGTACAATAATGAAACAATAACCAAATAAAAAGGGTTTAAACCACATTTCTTCTTCCTCAGAGCAAAAGCTCATGATGTCACTTTAAATCAGATCACATGAAACTGTATTAATTACTTTGACAACAATCAATATTAATAGATTACATGAAACACAAACAGAAAAGTTGAATGAATAATATTCAGTTTTCTAAATAAATGTTGCCTGTTGTTTGTTAATAAAATGTTTTGCTCTCTGTGTTTAGTGAATAAAAGAGTAAATATCCTGGCTAATATTTGACATGTACCAGCCTGTGATAATCTAGAATAACTGATTTCTGCTGATTCTACTCAAACACGAGCTGTAATTTTATGTAAATGAGGTCTACTGACAAAAAAGAAGTAAAACTTGTGGTGATGATTGAAATGAAGTTGGCTAAAAAGCTGTAATAACAGTCAAACCAGACTGGACAAAAGCGTCACGGTCGACGGGAAGATGAAATAAAAACACAGGTTTAAAGCTGAAGGACCAAACTCCTGTTGTTGTTCTGTTTGACTTGTTGTTGTTGACATTTCTTCATTTACCATGGAGTGATAAAGACACATCAGACTTCACTCTCTCCTCAGTCATCACACATGGAGGAAATATGGCCCCACTCTGCCACATGGGAGCGCTGTAACCAACGTTTTTCAGCTGTGACACCAAATTGTGTGACCCAAATGGAAAGTAAAGCGCCAGCGGCTTTGTTGATGATGTGAAGCGGCTGCAGTTTGGTTAGGCACAGAAAGCCGTCTATACATTGGAGGTTGTATTTACAGTTTTCCTCCTCAGAGAATATTGCCTGATGTAGACATATCTATTAAAATTTAATAAAGGAAGGAAGTGTAGGAAATGTTGCACATTATGTACAGGAGCATCTTAGGAAATTATGGAATAGCTACATAGATATTATACAGATGGATCTAGAGACCTGAGAAGTGGAGGTACCATTTGACAGATTTGAGTACCGTAGCACCATTAAGGAAAGACTGACACAACAATGGCAGCACGAGTGGAGTAAAGACACCAGCGGGAGAAAGTTCAATGACGTAAAACCATCAGTCAAACCTGGGAACACAATTATCTTGCCTCGGATGGATCAGATTAAGTTGGCCCGATTAAGACTGAGTCATTGTGGATTGGCAAGTGGGCCGTTTCTTGGTGGGAAAGCACAGGGACGGCAAGTGCCAAGTCTGTGGAGCACAGGAGTCTGTCAAGCATGTTCTGTCTGAGATATGCTGAGGAAAGGAGATTGTTACTCATTGGCCTAAAGGTTCTGGGAGTTGATCTATTATCTGTAAAAACTGTGATGGGTGATGGTCCTAATCAAACAGAAAGAGCATTAGAACTAGTTCACTTCCTAAAAACCACGGGCCTATATTGGAAAATATAGGTCAGGGGGAGCTTTAATGAAGACTTTATCACCAGTGGGAGGCAGCAATGCACTAAGAGAGCCTAGTCTGCCGGAAAGGAACAGAAGAAGAAGAAGAATATTCATGCTTCTCAAAACTGATCCAGAGTCGGTGAGTTTGTGAACACGGAGCTCCACGAGGTCCCGCAGCGCTCCTGAATCTGAAGAGCTCCGACAGTCACAGAGGAGACCTGCAGGATCTCAGAGACCAGGACCAAGAGCGGGATGGAGGAGGACAACCAGGACCCGGAGCCCCGGAGCAACAACGTCCCCGGAGGACAAACAGCAGGCTCGAGCTCTGATAGCACCGATGTTCAGGTCAGTGTTCATGAACACAGCTAGCAGCTAACAAGAAGCTAACGTGGCGTTAGCTCGGCCTGGTTCCGACACGTAGCTTCATATTGACTGTAAACAAGATGTAATGTAGCAGGATTCAACAGTGGAGCCATCAGAACCCCGTATCTCTACAGAACCCACACTTAATGTGACGGTCGGAACCGGAGAGGAGGAGCAGGAGGAGCAGGAGGAGGTCTCTTGTAGCATGTAGCCTGCTGCCTGGGTGTTAGCATGCTAGCTAGCTAGCTAAGACTGGAGCTGAAGTTTACTTCCGGTTCGGCAGTTAAGGGAAACTTGACTCACGTTATCCAACGAAGGTTAAAATCAAGGGCATCTGGACTTGGTTGAAGATACTGGAAGACGTTTCGTCCCTCATCCAAAGGACTTCTTCAGTTCTGACTGACTGGCAGGGAAACTCAGCTATTTAACCTCAGTGGGGTCGATATCCCGGGTCATCGATACCGCTGGTTCGTTAGTGTTCCTTGTTGCTGTGACGACAGTCGTTACAGTCGTTAAGACTACCGGTGGCCGAGACTGAACGACCATCGTTGGTATCTTCACCTGAGGCCAACAGGTTATGTTTGTTCAGTTTCCTGGTCACAGTAAAGTACAATCATAGCTGGAATACAGTTACAGACACATGTTTTCTGATCTCACCAGGTAGTAGGGGTGGGAATCACCAGAGGCCCCACAATATGATATTATCACAATATTTATGTTGCCATTCAATGTTATTGCAATTTTAAATATATTGAGATATATGGCAATTTATTACCTTTTTCCAACTTCCAATTAGGTCCCTAAAGTCAAACTTTGTCAACATCTGTTTATCTAAAAAGATACATTCCTCTGTGTGTTCATATCACTTTTTCAGTCCTCTATATGGTCCTGTTAAGTTTTCTAGTGGACTAAAAAAGCAATAGATTTTATTATTCTAGTACCAGAAAGTCCCATCTGCAATTTATATACTAAAATACCGATACTTGGCGTCCGTGTATCAATACAGTATTGCCATGGCAAATATCACAATACTATGCTGTATCGACCCCCCACCACCACCCCTACCAGGTAGTTCAACCTCCTCGCTTTCTTTTCTCCAAGTAGTGTCCAGTTTTGTCCGGTTTTTATATAAATATCAAGTCGTAGTCCGACAGAGCTAACGACGCTGACAACAACACTGGAACCAGATGTGTACGGAAGTTAGCTGCTGAGAAACTCCAGTGAAGATGAATCAATGTTGAAATCCCAAAAACTAAAGTAAAAAGCTAATTTAATAAAAGCAGTTAACTCCGAGTTCCTCCCGCGAGTAAATGGCGTAGTTGTCAGAGCAGAATCCAAGTCCGACTACAGGTGTTTATTTGTCCATAGGTTACAGAGAGGAGAGGTTGTTTTCAGCTGATAGTAGTTTCTACACCCCTGCTTCCAACGTGTGTGTGTGTGTGTGTGTGTGTTTGCTTAAGGAGTGAGTGATATGGGACATGAGCGACGGTGGATAAAGCTGTTGTATCACAAGTTAACTTGAGCATACAGTACCGTCGTCACAGCTGACTCCACGCTGCGTTCAGGAGGAGTGTAACTTAGCCTAAACATCCAGACTGTTTCACTTACAGGTTGTATGACAAACTGTTCTCAGGTCAACTCGACGTCAGATAAATAATGATGCATGATACAAATGTTGACTGACAAGACAATGTTGGTAACGATGGCAAAGATAGCGGAATATATAACGTGATCGATGGTACGAAGCTGCATCACAGGTTAATCTGGACGCTCTGTCACAGCTAACAGCTGCGTTCCATGTGAGCATCAAACACCTCAGCCTGTTTCCCTTATGTAAGTAACAGCGCATGTAAACCGACCGTGGCACAAATCAGACAGACAACATGAACATTTGGACGGTTTATTTATGTTTTGCAGTGTTTTGAACAGCGACACAGTGACCTCCATGGTCACGCTCAAAGTCCTCGCTTTGAACTGTCAGGTGGGGGAGGTCCCTAGGAATCATCGTGCAGCTAATGATGAAGCCTAAAAACTATATTAGGTACATCTACACATTACGTAGATAAAGTTATTGGAACGTATTTCCTGGTTTGCAGTCGGTGTATCCTGAAGCCACGCCTGCAACACATCTGGGACTATCACCAATTCATTTAGCCACCAGTTAAACTGTCACACCGGTCATACTACACATACTACACAACAAGTAGGGCGCTGGGGCGTACGGGGCCAGGGACAGGAGTTTGTGGAGCGACAATGACAATTTTTAATTGCATTGTTACGCGCAAAATTGAAGAATGAATTCTAAAGTAGTGTATTGCGCACTTTTAATTTAAATGTACTGCTATATACACAAAAGTGCCATAACGTGGTTTGTAAGCCATAAACAAATAATGTGCTTTTTACCAGCAGTATTCCCTTTACACAGTAGCAATAAAATATTTCTTGTAAATCTCAACTTAAACATTAATGTAATCAATATTAAATCTAAGCCTAAAACAAGTTACCATCAGACTCCAGTTTTCTGAACAGGTATCAGCAGAAACATTTTTCTTTTATCAGGGAGCAACAACAGTTTAGTAGCAAGTGTCCCTGTTTGAGTGAGGTGAAGTGCTCGCCTCACGCATACGCGCCTTCTGTCGAAGTTGAATTGTCTTGAACTTTTTGTATGCGACGTGCAGCACAAATCATTGGAAGAGAGACTGATCCTCGCTGTTTGTGAGTTTCCAGAATCTAAATGGTTATCAGGACATCAACAGGAGGGAATTCACATGGCAGAGCATCCCCGCAAAACTAGGCCTATCAGGTAAAGTTATGTATGCCTATATTATGCCTATAATTTTAACTTAAGTTAAATAGGCTACAGCTGTAGGGGTGTGAGAAATAATAAATTTTAGATTCATCGTGATGCGGACGTGCAAGATTATGAATCAATTAACAAATGTCTAAAAATCGATTATTTAAATGTTAATTGATAATCTAATGTTGACAGAATACAAAAGGCGGAGCTCCCGGATGTGAAGCGCCCGGGCTGTTTGTGGCGAGCACACAACAGAGACCAGCAGTGTTGTGTATTTGGCACACCACAGCTGCGGTATGAGTAACCATCCTGCTTAAATGTCACACAATCATTAATATCAATGGGCAAATAATGATTTTAACTCAGTTTAATTGTGCGAGCATGGTGACACTCGATGCTTGGCAGCTTCCTGCTTATTCTGTGTGTGAAGCCGAGATAGAGAGAGAGAGCGAGTGGCAGAATGTGATGGCGAAAGGAAAATATTATCAGTAAGTTTCTGAAGTCTGAATATAAACGTGTAGCGTAGATCAGTGTGTGTTAATAGAAGTCTTTCCACTGCTGGAAAAGTGAAGGCTGTTAGCGCTAGCTAACATCATACAAGGTACAAGGGCCTGCTCTCTGTCCCCCACACCAGACTCGAGAGCGTCACAGCCCCCACCTACTGGAAGTCATCCCCACAGAGATCCAAAATGCTCCCTGTCTGGGGGGGCCCTAAACACGGGGGCAGCAGGTGACCCGCAGCCACAGATCCAGACTCCACAGCTCCAGAGCCAGAAAACCTGCAGGAAGTGATAGGAGGAGAGAGGAGAGGGACGAGAAAGCACAAGACTACCGGAAGAGGGAGAAGTCGAGTTAGTAACATGCAAAATTGGGATGAGGTTGCATACAGAGGGAGAGAAAGTAGAGGAGAGAGGAGCTAAGTGCATCATGGGAAATCCCCCGGCAGTCTAGGCCTATAGCAGCATAACTAAGGGATGGTTCAGGACTCACCTGAGCCAGCCCTAACTATAAGCTTTATCAAAGAGGAAAGTCTTAAGCCTACTCTTAAATGTGGAGATGGTGTCTGCCTCCTGAACCCAAACTGGAACCTGGTTCCACAGGAGAGGAGCTTGATAGCTGAACGCTCTGGCTCCTAGTCTACTTTTAGAGACTCTGGGAACCACAAGTAACCCTGCATTCTGGGAGCGCAGTGCTCTGGTGGGGTAGTAAGGTACTATGAGCTCTTTAAGATAAGATGGTGCCTGACCATTAAGAGCTTTGTAGGTAAGAAGAATGATTTTAAATTCTATTCTGGATTTTACTGGAAGCCACTGCAGAGAAGCTAAGACAGGAGAAATATGATCTCTTTTCCTGGTTCCTGTCAGAACACGTGCTGCAGCATTCTGAATCAGCTGAAGAGTCTTAATGGACTTTTTCGAGCAGCCTGATAATAGGTTGAAAGAGGTTTAATTACAGCTACTTTAAAGTACTGTGGTATATAGCCTGTTGATAAAATAGATTGATCATATCTAGTATAGAAGTGCTGACTAAGGGTAAAAGTTCTTTAAGCAGCCTAGTCGGGATGGGGTCTAAGAGGCAGGTTGATGGTTTAGATGAAGAAATTATTGAAGTTAGTTGGTAAAGATTGAGGGAAGCAAAGCAGTATAAACATATCTGGTTTTACAGCCGTTTTAAAGGTTCCGGAGTTTGGAGATAAGTCGGTGCCAGTTGAGGGCAGGTCTTGGTGAATTTTGTTTCTAATAGTTTGAATTTTATCATTAAAGAAGCTCATGAAGTCGTAACTACTGAGAGCTATGGGAATACTTGGTGGGGTCTAGTTTTTTGTAGCGAGTTTTCTGTAATTCTTCCCTCCGAGCCTCATACACCCCCTCACCAAGCGAACGTCCCCAAGTGATGCGTCCCAGAGCAACGTCCCATATGCACCACTACATTCGCTAAGACACACATACAAGTGTAACTGTCAAAAACTATGTATACAGCCATAAGAAGACCTGACAGTGTGTCAGACACAAGACTGGACCGCCAACCTTAATTTTTTCGCCTGTTCTTGTGTAATAATGCTTGTATAACTTGAATCCTGTAGTGCATAATGAAGTTATATACTTTTCAGGACAACTTAGGCTATCAGAATTTGTATACTACAGTGATATCACATAAATGTATTAATAGTTATATGACCATAAAAACAAAAAAAGATCTGCCTGTTCAGAGAAATTGTACTGTAGCACGATACTATCAGTTTTTGTTTTAGTGGCTACACACGCAGTTGACGGCTGATATGTCAGCTACCTCGCTGTCTGCGTCCTCTGCTTCCTACAAAGGCCAACGCTAACTGTTGGGCATCATAAAATTAACATTAAAGTTCCATGTGTCCCCCGTCTGCTCTGCCTCAACTCTCTGTGATTTACTGATGAACAGAAAGTGTTACTTGTTGCTAAAGTAACAGCGGCTAACTAGCTGCTGTTATATAATTAGCTCAGTTAGCCTAGTGGTCATGGCTGACATAGCCCGGACTGGGAGCTTGGAGCACCTGGGGAATGTATTGTGTTTAACATAACACCTCTACTGGAGGTTTTTAGGCCAGGATAGACTCACTTACTGTCTTTCTCTCTGTATGTCTGTCTTTTGATATAGAAACAGAGAGGAAAAGAGGGACTCAAACGTCACCACTGTCAGCACTGTGACAAGTACTTTTCAACATCTGGATCTTTAAAGATTCATCAGAGAGTTCACACTGGAGAGAAACCATACAGCTGTGACCAGTGTGGGAAAACTTTCACTAGATCAGGTGAACTTACAGTCCACGCGCGTGTTCACACTGGAGAGAAACCATACAGCTGTGAACAGTGTGGGAAAGCTTTCACTACATCAGGTGACCTAAAAATCCACCTACGTATTCACACTGGAGAGAAACCGTACAGCTGTGAACAATGTGGGAAAGCTTTTGCTCAATCATTTCATTTAGAAAACCACAGAAGTGTTCACACTGGAGAGAAACCGTACAGCTGTGGCCAGTGTGGGAAAGCTTTCGCTAGATCTGGTGGCCTTAAAAGACACCTCCAACATGTTCACGATGGAGAGAAACAGTACAGCTGTGACCAATGTGGGAAAGATTTCGCTACATCAAGCTATCTAAAGATCCACCTTCGTGTTCACACTGGAGAGAAACCGTACAGCTGTGACCAGTGTGGGAAAGCTTTCACTACGTCAGGTGCCTTAAAAACCCACCAACGTGTTCACACTGGAGTGAAACCCTACAGCTGTGACTTATGTGGGAAAGCTTTCACTACGTCAGGTGACCTAAAAATCCACCAACGTGTTCACAGTGGAGAGAAACCGTACAGCTGTGACCAATGTGGGAAAGCTTTCACTTCATCAAGCCATCTAAATTTTCACCGTTATGTTCACACTGGACAAAAACCGTACTGGTGTGAACACTGTGGAAAAACCTATGCCCGGAATGGTTCCCTTATAGTTCACCAACGGATTCATGCTGCTTCACTTTGAACATTTCAGAGCCGAACGCATGCTAAAACATGTCGTAGGAGTAAACGTTCTTCAAAACTTTGGGACACAACAATTTCCACCTGCAGAGAAACCCACAGAAAGAGACGCCATCTTGTATGACGTTAGAAGAGTTGCACATGTGGGTCTTGATTGGTAACTAACAAAAGCCTCCTCCACATGTTGCTCACCTGCTACTGTGGAAACGGAATTGCGGCTGAAGAAATTCAAAATGCGAGTTGTCTTTACAAACTGAAATAAAGTAAACTGAGCAGGTTTAGGTAAGTAAACACTGAAGTAAGGTGGAAAAGTAGGTGTAGATAAAATGATGTGATAATACCTGGCTAATAAAAATAGGGTAACGTATTCTTTCAAATATTTTCATTTAAATTACAAATACAGGTGCTGGTCATATAATTAGAATATCATCAAAAAGTTGATTTATTTCAGTAATTTCATTGAAAAAGTGAAACTTGGATATTATATTAATTCATGACACACAGACAGATATATTTCAAGTTTTTATTTCATTTAATTGTGATGATTAAAACTGACAACTAATGAAAATCCCAAATTCTGTATCTCTGAAAATTAGAATATTAAGACCAATACAAAATAAGAATTTTTAGAAATGTTGGCCAACTGAAAAGTATGAACATGAAAAGTACGAGCACAGCACTCAATACTTATTTGGGGCTCCTTTTGCCTGAATTACTGCAGCCATGCGGCGTGGCATGGAGTCAGTCGGTCTGTGGCACTGCTCAGGTGTTATGAGAGCCCAGGTTGCTCTGATAGTGGCCTTCAGCTCTTCTGCATTGTTGGGTCTGGCGTATCGCATCTTCCTCTTCACAATACCCCATAGATTTTCTATAGGGTTAACGTCAGGTGAGTTTGCTGGCCAATTAAGAACAGGGATACCATGGTCCTTAAACCAGGTACTGGTAGCTTTAGCACTGTGTGCAGGGGCCAAGTCCTGTTGGAAAATGAAATCTGCATCTCCATAAAGTTGGTCAGCAGCAGGAGGCATGAAGTGCTCTAAAACTTCCTGGTAGACGTCTGCGTTGACCTTGGACCTCAGAAAACACAGTGGACCAACAGCAGCAGATGACATGGCACCCCAAACCATCACTGACTGTGGAAACTTTACATTGGACTTCAAGCAACGTGGCTTCTTTGCCTCTCCTCTCTTCCTCCAGACTCTGGGACCTTGATTTCCAAAGGAAATGCAAAATTTACTTTCATCAGAGAACATAACTTTGGACCACTCAGCAGCAGTCCAGTCCTTTTTGTCTTTAGCCCAGGCGAGACGCTTCTGACGCTGTGTCTTGTTCAAGAGTGGCTTGACACAAGGAATGCGACAGCTGAAACCCATGTCTTGCATACGTCTGTGCGTGGTGGTTCTTGAAGCACTGACTCCAGCTGCAGTCCACTCTTTGTGAATCTCCCCCACATTATTGAATGGGTTTTGTTTCACAATCCTCTCCAGGGTGCGGTTATCCCTATTGCTTGTACACTTTTTTCTACCACATCTTTTCCTTCCCTTCGCGTCTCTATTAATGTGCTTGGACACAGAGCTCTGAACAGAACAGCCAGCCTCTTTAGCAATGAGCTTTTGTGTCTTGCCCTCCTAGTGCAAGGTGTCAATGGTCGTCTTTTGGACATACAAGTTTCACTTTTTGAATGAAATTACTGAAATAAATCAACTTTTTGATCATATTCTAATTATATGACCAGCACCTGTACACCCTCACCACAGTCAATCTGTGGGAAACACAGCCCTGTGGTACTGCTGTTCATTTTCATTTATATATATTTTTTTGAACATACCGTCGATCAGAAAAGCCGATGCTGGTGGGGATCCTAATAAGATAATTTTCTAATAAAGGAAAGTTACAAAAATGTTTGTGTACGCTGTCAGTTATAGGTCTTGGAAAGTAAGAAAATCTGAATCGTCCAGGAAAAATCAGTGCCTCTCTACCTGATAGCTCTGTTATATTCTGAGCTTGTCTACAAACTGGGGGATGGACAACAGTAACTTTATATTTTTAGCAGCATTTATGTTATTGTGGCCACGACTACATACTGTCCTGCTTGCTAGCACGATTCAACCAGCCTGATTTCTCAATGTTACTTTTTTTTCATGTTGATTTGCATTGTAAATAAACGGTTATAAACATACTCAACAGTGATGTCATCAAATTGCTTGTTTTGATCAAAACTTCAAACCTTTAAAAATTACCATTAATGTATTATTAAAATAAGTGTTTTTACCGTATCCCGACAGCCTATCTTATTTTCATCTGGAGAATGTCGAATGTTTAGTTATTCTTCTGCACACTTTAGTGATAATGGTACAGGTAATAAGTGGAGTTTGTCACATCGGAGACCTGGTGAAACCAATAACGCCACGCCTCTCGCTCACGCCACCTCCCTGTACAGTCTGTAATGGTTGGCTGTTGCCGCAGCACTTTTTGTATGGTCTGTTCTGCACATGTGCATAATTATTATCACTCAATTTGTACCATGCATGTGTGGACATTGTAATTCTGTGTTGACAGAAGCCGTGATTTACAGAAAAACTTTATTTACAACACAATATTATACAAATACGCAGGGAAGTGTAATCAACAACAAGATGGCTTCAGTAGAAGAAAATTGTAGTGTGCTAAGTAGCGCAATATTAATTATTGTCAATAGTACTATTGACATGAAAAGATATTAACTTACATTAATACTACATAAACATTTTTAAAGTTAAACTCCACTCTTGATATGCATGTGTCCACACCAGTGAAAGCTGGATATTAAAGGCAAGCAGTATGAATAGTTAACAGTCCCATTGCAAACCAAAGACAATAACACAACCAGCATGATTGGTGCATCTGTTTATTGAGGATATGCTCAAACGTTACATGTAAAATGAATATAATATTTTCATATAAAAGGAACATAAAATGCTTATTTTTAAAGATTATATAATTATTTAGATTAACAATATTAAACAGTAGAAATGAATCACTTTTTATTTTTATTTTAATAATTATAAATTATTATTTGTCTATTAACATCATAGATTGAACTTTTGCTGCACTGAGCTATTATTCTAGTCTGATGAACTGAGCAAGACCTGCGCTCACTCCACGTCCCTCATCCGCTCTCTCACGCCACGCCCCCTAAGCTACAGTCCGCAGCCGGACCCGTTCTCGGTGAAACGTTTACCTGCTCCAAGATGTCGTGCAGGTCGACCAGAGATGGCTCCTGTTAGCCGTCGCCTGGCAGTTCCTGACATTCACATCTGACACCAGAGAGCATCTCCACCTGAATACAACCCCTTGTTATCATGTGACTGTGCTGGACTAGAGCCATGTGATGACATCTAGGAAGTTCAGTTTACTGAAGAAGGCCATGGGATGTGGTCAAAAGCCCCAACAAAGATGTAGTATGTGAGGCTTGAGTTTAGACTCATTTATTACAGATGTGTTCCCCAAAGTCAAGAATGAAGCTCCATGCTGGATGAAATATTGTTTCTGTGAGCTTCATACATATTTGCTTGTTATTTTGTTGTAGTTAACATATTTCATTTAATCTTTATTTTAAACTGTATCCACTGTTTTTATTTTATTTTGTTTATACTTTATTGTGTCAATACATATCATTGATACATGTCTTGTTTTTATTAAGTATAGTGTAGTACACATGTTCAGTATTTGTTAGATTTGTCCTGTTGTGTTTTTTGGGGCTGTGGCTTTGGTGAGTCTTTACCACCCAAAGAGTTCTCATGTGGACCTTTTCTTTCAAATAGCTTCTCATTCAATCCTACTTCATTATACGTCATGTAAAATTGTGTGTGGCCCTCACCTTCCCATGTCTTAATCTGGGTCACATGATGTTTCTCTCAAACAGGTAATTTCTTGTTCCTTTAGTTACTTTACATATTCTTCTCCAGATTTTAAATGTGTTAACTGTATATAGACTAGTTACGTAATTTGATCTGTTGATATTTTCTGAACGGGGTTTTGAATCTGTTTGTTCAGACTGAAAGCAAAGCCAATTCTAGTCGAAGCAAAGAACCGCAGAATGTGAACTGTTCTATGAAGATAAATAATAAACTGGAGACGTTAAAACTGAATATGAGTTATTTCTGTTTATGTAGGCTATTACAAGAAACAGACCATTGTCCACCACCACTACTTACTGTATATTAGACTGACTACAAGGATAATATCAGCTTAAGCTGTAGAAATTGTGTCTCTATCCCCAAGCATACCATACAGCTTACAGGCAGGTTGTCTGCCGGGCCTAAGGCAGGCGCATTGTGAAGTCCTTATGTGTTGTGTCCTGAAGAATAGGGTATTAACACATTTTTATGGCCTCATTTGGCTGATATTAATATTAATTGTAGGACTGATCTGGCTTTGCCTTAATTTCTAAAGATCTATAAACCGTGAACCAAGACATCTGTGCTGGTTAAATCGTTAACCGATAAAGGTCGACTGCCTCATCCATCCATGATGATCTTTTGGCCGATCTTTAAAGTGGGGCAGGTGCAGTGGACTCCATGAGGGCTGATGCTGGGGAAAGGAAAAACCTGTTTATGTAATATAACACACCCTCATAGCAACCTCTCAGCCACCATCACGGTTTAAATGCAGAACTACCGAGAGAAACCTGTAGAAAATGCAGATATTGCAGTTCATAAGTAGTACATGTGTGGAAAAACCCAGATGTAAAGACAACATATAGGACATTTGTAAAATCAAACTGTTCTTGTATTTTGTGAAGTTTTGAGGCAACGCTGCCACCATGTGACTATCCATGTACAGCAAATACTAGTTTCTGTTAATAAAGTACACCGAGCTAAAACTGTTGCACTCCAGTAAACAGCCCTGCAATAAATAATATCTTCATGAAGCTAGCAATGTTTTTTTGTTATTTGTATAACGTCTTATTCATGTGTTTTTACTTTTAAACTCCAAAATGGCTGTTGGGCTGAAACAGATAAAAATTGTAAGTGATAGAGCTGGAGATTTGAACACATTTTTAAAAATAAGATTTTTACTCCCCAGAATTACCTGATACGTGATTTTCTTCCATACAAATGTTGGTGTGTTGCTGTTCCTTCATAAAATAATTAAT